AAATGTACTGGCAATATTTTGTCGTTGGACGAGGCTCGTGGTTCAACGAGTCACAACGGCCACCTCTACAGTGGCCAGATATTTTCGTCCCAGTTAGGAGAATTGCTCTTATTTTAAGCTCCCAACAATGGCCACCTTTCCACAATGGTTAGTTAACTCTGTCCACAGGGTGGCCGTTGAAGAGAGTTTCGACAGTATTTTCTGAACACAGCATCTGTGGGCATCAAGTCATAAAGTACTTGGCCTGATATTTTATGTTTATAGGCAAGAGACACGGGAAGGGTGAAGGAGTCATTTTCTCGTTACCTCAGTGTTGTAATAAGCCAAGTACTGATGATCATGGATTCTACACCGGGGGATGGAAAAACAACATGAGGTTTGGGTCTCTGACTGTGTTGTGTTAGATGTTAGCGTATGATTCTTAGGTTGTGTTCCGTTACGGCCATTTGTTTTAACCGCAATCAGGTTTCATGGATTTGGTTGAGTGTTCCAATTCAATCCTTAACCGGTTTCATACCTGTTAGGCATTGTGGAGAAAAATAGTCTTCGGTAAATTTGATTGAATAATATCGTTCAACAGTTTAACATGCTGATGAAACCAACCGATTGAACAGAGTTTGACGTTGTTCAATGTTAATAACTTTATCAACCACACTAACCGAAGACGGTTTCATCCCCTTCTCGCCCGATTAATGGCGGTTAACCCCAATAGGACTCAATCTTAACTTTATGCGTTTTGTTTCCCTGTTGCTAGGCATGGCAGTGGCAAAATGACGTTTGTTTCCGGTGCTGTTTATGAAGGCCAGTGGCAGTACGATAAAATGAGCGGTTATGGGACCTTGAAGCTCCCGGATGGGGTCATTCAGGAAGGGACATGGAAGGAAGGGTCATTAGACGGTTGTGTCCTTTTCACTTGGCCCCATGGTGTCACCGAGTACCGCGAGTATGAGCCAGGCAGAGGTTGGTGCCTTTATACCTTCTAGTTTAGTACAGCAACAATAGTTTCACTGAAAGGCTTTGCGTGTTCCAGTGAGCCGAGGGACTCGCACTGGGTTATGTTTTAACCTCTTACTCATATTCCATGAGGTTGGTTGACATGATATTCATTTTGTAATATTTGATGTGGACCTGACCCGTCTGAGGTCAGCTATGACGTTTTCTCGCTCCATGGGCTGTCTCCAACAGGACAGTACTAGAAAGTCATTTATGGCGCCTTGTCTCTTTTCAATCGATTGCAGGTCAGCTCTCATCCTGTAAAATTGACGAGGACACTGCTGGACAGCTCTCACAGATGAGCTCCATTCGATCGCAGCTCTCAAACGTGCGAGAATGCTTGACCAGGCTGAAAGAAGGAAACCTCGGCCTTAAAGACGAGATGAACACCCTGAAAACACAGGAAGCCGAGATGACCAGGATATACCAAGGCAATCTTTGTAAAATTCGCCAAACTCTCATCGTCCAGCAAGAGCAGGATTACCAGAAATTGCGAGAGGAATTTGACAAGAAATTGAAAGATGCGGAGACATCCTTCTGGAACAGTGCCGAAACAGTACGTACATTAGAAAAAGAACTTGAACAATCCCGGGAAGCGCAGCTGTGTCAGATATGTTTCGAGCGATCACGTGACTGTATCATTATGCCCTGTACTCATTTTTTATACTGCAGGACATGTGTGACTGAGCATAAAAAGAAGGGTGATTCCCGCTGCCCCGCTTGCCGCGGACCTATCTCCGGTGAAATGTTATGTAATGTCAATCAATAATCAAGATAATTTACAAAAGACTTCGTAAAGTAAAAAGTTCTCTTTCGCCTTATTTGCATTAGTTTGGTTGTTACATTTTATGGTGGTTGTTGCAAATTAATTCCATTCCGTATCGCGTATTACATGTAAAAACACAATATAGTCCGTCGATCGTTTTGATGAAATTATGACTCTGTTTTTGCTCTTTTTTCCTCAAAAACAAAATTAGTTGTACTGAGGTTTCTCGTTTCATAGGCGATGTCTATTGATAATATATTTCAGCTATACTTTTGTGTTCATGGACAAGACACTTGATTTGTCTACCCAGAAGTATAAATGGGTACTCGCCTGCTTGCAGGCTGAGTAGGTAGCAGTAATTAATCTTTGAAAGGACACTAGTCAGCCTCCGCCATTTTCAATGCCACTGAAATTATTGATATTGCATAGTGAAGCGAAATCTTGTTTTATTGTAAGTTGTGTTCCTGAAAGTATTTTTAGTTACTTTATTAGTTTACGGTGATTTCCTTCGTTTCGACATGCCCCGAATAAAATATAATAGCCAAACTCTTGCATGTAAACAAAAACAAAGGTGTGGCTGTCTGGCTGACTGGGGCTGCTTAAGACCCACTTCAAGTTGATGGAAGAATAAATTAACACGAATGTCAGAAAGTGCGAAGTTTACAATTTATGTTTAAATATTCCTCATTGTTAGAGTATGAGGTTGTCTACGGATTGAAATTTCGCCGCTTGAGAAGTTGGGTTTTCGAATGGCACTCAGTGTAGCGTGTAGGACTGATAAGTCCCTGTTTTGGCTTCCTCTCCGGGAGTGGGTTTGTTGAGTGTTTTGTTAAGCTGGGTGTAGCCAGAGTTCACCCTTTTTAGCTAGGAGAAAATTTAAAAAGTTAGGAAAACGGCCGAAGCGCGGCTTGGAGGCTCTGCAACAGTCGCGAAACATCAAAGAAAACATATATGTAAGCTTCAATGGCTGTTTATTTTCATTTGCACTCGAAATCAATTTCGGATATAAATATAAAACTTCATGCAGATTGTAACGGTATTTTGCCAGCAACATGCCGCGCGGTGTTTTCCCGGGGTGATTTGTACCGTGGAAGGCGGCGATCACAATATTGCCAACCAATCTTAGTGGAGATTTCTTCAGCAGTTGTTTTTGCAGAGATGTCACAGCATGTATGGCCTGCTTGAGCAATGAAAGGTTACAAACGCGTATCATGTTTGTTCAGGGAAGTCAAATTTTTAGATTAATAAAACAGCAAAGCGGAACCTTTATGAACATTGGTTAAAAACACACATCAAGTTGCTGTCTGATTTGGCACCTACTCCATGGAATTTTGACAAAAATAGCAGTCGTCATTTATTAAAACGAACGACAAACCCCNCCCCCCCCCGCCCCGTCACCCCCGGCTCCTTCCCAAAGAAAAAACATCAAACTGAAATCTGAAATACCAAAACGACCCAAACTAAGGGCCCGGTCCTCACTGCGCCGGAGGAATTTGAAAACGAAGGTTTCACTATGAAAACTAATCAAATGTTTTCCGTCCACACAACGCCGAAGGAATTTAAAAGCGAAACAGTCACCGGTCATTTTGGATTTGTGTTTGAGGAAAACTCGGTCAGGGAAATCACCTGATTACTGGCGTGACAACATCGCTTTCGAAAAGCTCCGTTTTAAAAAATGTTTTCTGTCCACACGAAAACGCAAAGCCGGCGTTTTCAAATTCCTCCGGTTTGATGAGCGTTTTCGAAAAGCTCCACTTTCGTGACGGATTAGCGTGGACGGTAGGCCTAACCGAAGAAAATAAAGCTGCGTTTTCAAATTCCTTCGGCGTGGTGAGGACGGGGGCCACTACCTGCTTGACTGCATTAATTCAGCAGTTAATTGGCAGGCCATCGTTTTTTCACATGAAGTCACGGCAGCTATAGGTCAAAACAATGAAACAGCAGCTATGTTGGTGTAGCAAACCAATTCTGTGTGAATTGAACTCTTTTCCTATGTAAACACGCTCAATAAATTTGCTTGGCTGCTGGTCACGTGAGTGAAAACGTTCTATTACCAATATCAATACGCGGGCGAAGAAGCAATCAGGAACCTACATAATAATTATTAGTTTTTGATTTCAGTACGGCCTTAGCTTTTCCTGTTAAATATAATCCCTCGTTGCAGTTTTGTGATAAATTAGCTGCGATCAAATGATTTGTATCTTACGTTTCAAAAATGTGGAGAGAAAAGTAGCTACTTTCTGTCCCAGAAATTTGGGAATGGTATAATAAAACCGATCAAACATGACAATTGTTTACCACTGCAATTCTAACTGGTTAACAAAGTCACAGCAAATACAGCTTCTATCATGTTATAGAACGCTTTGAGATCGGAATAATCAGTGAATTCCAAGTTGTAAACTCGTCGGCCTGTTATGACGGACGCAACTTGTCCCAGGTTCCCACTTTGATGAGCTCCGACTCTTCGCTTGCGCCAAGCATACTTCTGGGCACTGGAGACGAGTCTTCCTGGCTGCACCATACAGAGGTCTGAAAAGAAAGCGCGAGGAAAGATTCTTGTGAGAAAATGCTTTCTGCATTGAGTAACTTATCGATATAAAAATAATTTTAAGGGTGCTCTGATTGAGAAAGTGGGCGAAGAAGACGTTAGCTAGTATATATTTCTTATCACCGACGACGAAAATAGAATCTCCCAAAAATTCAGATGAACATCCGGTGACCTTCATTCCAAATAGTTAAATTGCTTTTTACCTTTTAGGTCAATTATCTCTTTGGTTTTCTCGCTCTCAACTGTTTCTACTTCGTCAGTCTTCGACCTCAACTCAAGTTTGTGAGTATCTTCCTCCAAAAGAAGTTTTCCAAAATGAGGCCTTCTGCTCCCTGGAATTGAAATAAGAAATGCGATAATAGTGATAAATGAGTACCAGAAGTTATTAACTCCCTCGAGAGGGAAATTTTTCTTAGAACATTTCGCTGTCAAACGCGAAAAAGCAATGATAGACGTTGAAGTTTCTCATAATTTCGTTTCTCTGTTTCGACCATTCCATTTCATTATTTATGCAACCTTGTACCTTCGTTCGCCTTGACCAGCGTTCGGGAAACATCCGATTTGAAGTTCGAAAATATCGCACTTCTGGTTGAATTGCGCACGCCTAGCTGACAAACGCGTGGCTCAATAAGATGCTGGATTTTAACTTCCACACATTTCCATTGTTTTTCAAACCAATCAAAATCGAGGCTGTAACGGAACTCTCGAGAGTCGCTCGTTTCGCCACGCTTGCGCAGTAAGGAAGGAAAACTCGTGGAACGAGATTGTTATTTATGAACCAATCATATGCGAGTTCATAGCTTGTGCGCATGTTTGGAAGAAATCCTTCGGGCGGAATAATAAATCCGGTCGGACAGTTCGTACCGTCAGTGGAATTCGAACATCATTGATTCTTCAAAAATTATCGTCGTTGTTTGTTAGACTCTATAGCTAGGTGGCTCAGTGAGAAGCGAAAATGATACTGACATGTAACACTCACGCCACAGCTTGCAAATCTTATCCTTTTCAATCTCATACGGGCAAAATGATAGCCATCATTGTAGCAAAAGTCATTGACGGAGATTTACCTTTCTTTGAATGAAGGAACACGTTCACGCCGCTGCAAAGTTTTTCCACAGCTCGTCTTTGATGGAATGTTCTTGAAGGTCTGGGCAATTCTGGGAACAACATGCGGTAGTTGAATGCGAGAGCTGTTGCTAAGATACTACCAGTCACGTGAGCATGAGGTAGCTCACTCATAGAGTAATGGTCACCAGGACAAACGAGCACCGTTGTACCTCCATCAACCAACTGGCCCCATATCTCGCCAACACTCTCTGACGGGGAAACCCTGGGCGAGAAGCGGTCGTCTTGGCTTCTAATGTATGTGAGAGGGCCTCGATAACGAACCTAATAACGAAAAGAAAGGTGAAGAAACCTGTGCATAATTCACTGAAGGCGAGTAGTCTTACGTAATGTTCTAATACTACCCTTCTAGCAAAAATGCTGGTTAAGACTGGGATAAATTTCGACCCTTAAGCTGATTTGTAATTAAAAGTCACCTAAACAGGTCTCGTACCTGAGCGGGCTGCCATTCTTCGAATGTTCTATTGGCAATACTTAAGTTCTTTAGAAGTGCCTCTCTGAGGGCCCCCAAACTGTAGTCAGGGAGTCCTTTCTCACGGCTCCTTCTCTGTAGTTCATCTATGATCCAGTCTAGATTATGTTCCTTTCTCAAGTGGTTGTATTCGTCTGCTTCCATCTTTAGAGAATCTACTGCCAGTTTTGCCAGAAAATTTTCAAAAAACATCTGAAAAGACAGGAAAGAACCAATTGTGGTTATCCGTTCACAGGCCTGCCTGATAATAAACACTTTTGACAACATCTACCCCTAGGAAATATGGCAATTGAAACTGAACCACTGTGCAGTTGTCCTGCATGTTGGACCGCCTGGTTATAGCCTCGATCGTGGTAATTTCATTTCAATCCGGGACAAACTTGTTCACAGCATTTACTTAAAATAGGTCGTCTCGCAACTATACTCATTTAGCTTTGCGTAACGATCTAGAAAAACGCTGCAAATGAGACTAGGAAGACTAGGGACAAGCGAGCATGGCACTCTGCTAATGAAGTGCATTTGAACTCCTTGACAAAACCAATGAAAACAACTAGATGGCCAGCTTCCCGCGGGATGGATTCTTAACATTAAATTTGCTTTTTGACTCGAGTGTTTAGTCTATTGCACTGTGGCAATAATTCTGTAAATTCTGGAAGACCTTAATTAGTCCGGTCATCAGATTACCGTTGCTATGACCACCTTTCTCACGAACCTTGACCTGTCGAGTTGATGAAGTTGCATTGTCCTGCATGGAAGCCAGTCTCATGGTAATGGTCCGTGAATGGGGATACCACGGAAATGTGTCAAGCATAGCCACAAACTCCACCCTCTGGTTCTGCTCTGTCAACAGGGACGCCATTTCGTACGCAACAAGCCCTCCGTAGGAATATCCGCCAAGAAAGTACGGTCCATGGCGCTGCTCCTTGCTTATCAGTTGAACGTAATGTGCAGCAAGTTCACGTACTCCACCCCAGTCTTCACTCACTACCGTTGGGTCAGTAAATCCCAGTGCATAAAAGGATACCAAATCCTAATTAGCAAAAAGAAAGATGTCAATCATACATCGATTAACATTCTTGTACAAATAGTGGCTTCAGTCTGCTTAAAACACGAACGAAAATACCACGGAACGTGACTTCTGTCATATCCAATGAAATCACGTTTGGGTACGTTTCTACAAACATGTGGTCTGTGATACTCAGATTGAGTTTTGCTCGTCAATGAGGTGTCAGTGCCGGGTTCTCACGGTTTACGTTTCACTTCAAGGACGCAATCAAATGCGCTAACCATTCGGCCAATGCACTATCTAAGTTACCATGCCCTAATTGTAAGAGATTTTTCCAAGTAGATCTGTACGAAATGCTTAGAGCAAGTATGCATGGAGAATGTTTACTTTGAACGCGGATTGGATAGATTAAGACATAATACAACAGCAGGGAATCACCTGGCCTTGAAATCCCGAAGAAATCGGCACTAGATTCAACGCATAGCGGTGCGATGGATGTACACAGAAGAACTTGATAGCCGCGCAAGCAGGAGTGTACAGCGGCACCACTTGTACTTGACTCTCTGACGTGATGGCTGAAGGCGATGTATCCGCCATTGGCTGTGTTTGTGCAGTTTCATTTTCTTGGCCTTCGTTATTCTGAAGCTGTTCACTAGGTGCCTCTCCACTAAGCTTGGCAGTGATGTCTCTTGCAAGTTTAAGTGCGGTCGTATCAGGCTGCATAAAATAGAAAACCTGAAACAAGAACACTCACGATCTAGTAAACATGTAGGTGAAGGAAGACAAATACAAGAGCCGTAGCCCTCCTCAAACATATTTTTAGACGAGCCACAGGAAAAAAAAACAGCATCTGAAGGAAATGTAGGTGAACTGAAGACCATAATCTGGTACCAGCTCACCGCTTATAAGGAATGACTGTGTGAAACTGAAACCTCCTGTCTAAACTGTGTCTAATATTTGGGATAATAAAACCCCCTGAACTCATACAGTCAAGCTCAATGAACCTGTTTTCCTTAGGGAACGAAAAGGGTGACCATTCAGTACAGATTTTATGAATGCTACTTGGGAGAGTTTAGCGTATCATCAAGACAACATCTCTTTGAGGACGATATTCTTTATTCTTGTCAGCCGTACGACGACATCGAATTGACGCAGTAAGCCAAGGGGACCTGTCGTCGATTATCTGTGATTAAGTGATAATAGACCTTTTTTATCTTGGGTAGTTTGTTGCCCCATTTCAGACCATGTGATGATACTCTTACGAAGTCTAGCTTTGAAATTTTCAAATTATCGCCTCGTGTGTATATGAATGAATATTTTTTAGATGGATGAACAATTCTCTAGAGATGAACAATGAACAATGACGAACAATGAACAATTCTCTAGAGAATATCAAGTGATCTGAAATGGGAAAACAAACCGCCCAAGCCTAAAGGAACCCACCTCAAAAGAAACTTGCAAATTGGATTCAAACTGCATTTTCAAGGTCAGAGCGCCAGCTGAGTCGATGCCGTAGTTGTACAAGCTGTTGTTAAGATCGACCTCAGAACTCGAGGAAATTCCCGTCCATTCTTTTATTACCAAGCCGACGTACTCCCTGACGAGTTCGCCTCTCTTTTCTGCATCCTTCTCCAGCGTTATTTGTTGTGCGAGGGTCTCCGACGAGCTGGTCTGACTGACAGAATCATTGATTTCTGCCCTAATGACAGACATTCGGGACGTCTTCTTCAGCCCGCTAATACTTTTTATGTATCTAGGCCAGTCCACACCGCATAGGGCGATTTGGAAGCGGCTGGGTTCCTCAGTAAGAACTTTGGCCATGTGTTTGGCTCCTGTGAAAATATTAAAGAATCGGAAATGTGCGATTGCTACTGATAAAATATAGTTTTAGCACAGTGCAGTTAGAGGTTCATGTAGTGTGATCGTCCGAGTAAGAACAGTTGACACTATTGAAGGTTGCAGGAGAGCTCCACGACTTAACAGTGCGCATGCGTCCTGTACTACGAAGCCCTAAGACTCAGTTGATCATTTGTTTGAAATGTGAAAAGAGTTCCCTCAAACACAAGTTCCATATCTGAAGGGACCGCATAACATACCTCAACTAGAACTTTGTATAAAGTGACCGTGTGCGCTTAACAGCTGAAGGTAACCAATGAGTAAACGCACTAATCGTATCTATAACAAAATTCTCGATCGTGATTGGTTCTCCGTGCGCCTATCTGGCACGTAATCGGCGCGTGATCACATGGGTGTCCAATTATAGGTATCCAATTACAACTCCAATTTCAACAAGTTGTAATGGATACCCACGTGATTTGCACGTCAATTACATGTGCCCTAATGGCTCTTTTTCTTAATATTTCCTACAGTTATGGAGAGCGCTATTCACTTTTCGCTCAAAAGAAGTTGTCAAAAGACTTTTTAATTTTGAAATTTTGTTTTTGATACGATTAATTAGTAACTGGACCTCGTGTTGTACAATTCAGGGAGTAATCGTGCTCGTAATTTCAAATCGGCCTCGCTCTACGAGCTCGTCCGATTTTGAAATTACTTGCTCGATCACTCCCTGAATTGTACTCCACTCGCTCCAATTACTACTACTAATTCCTACTTAAATCCTGCATTCACGTAGGGGCCAAACCACCCCCCAAATGTTTCGTCAGTTCTTGGGTATTTTACATTATTTCGCATTACTTAAAAAGTATTGACTGTTTCTACAC